TTTTTTTATCGATTTTCATTGTCACTTTTATCTTCGATCCTTTTYGATAATTGTTTTCTGGAATCGTCATTTGCCATTATGATAGTGTTCTATTTCAGTCTTAGTATCAGCTATATATCCAATGTAATTATTGGACTCTTTTGAACCCATTAAGCGTATTATATTAGCATTTCTTCTCACTATAGATCTTTTACAATAACTTACAGCAATTCTTTTCAGAAAACGCCGACCATTTATCTTTTCTTATCTTATCTTTTCTGGCTAAAATGATCCAAATCTCTATTTTCAGTTTATATCTTCCCTCCTCAAATGTTTTTTAATGATTGTTTGAATGAGTTTTTTTTTTTTTTTTCAATGATTTTGTTCCTTTTTCGTCAATYTGTTTCCTTAGGGCTTTGCATCATTTTCCCAATGAATAATTCAGATTTCTAAGTGTTTTTGAATTGATGTTGAGTAAGGGTTGCTTTTACTTCTAACAACATCATTTCTAGTGCAGCTTTCACTGTTCCGTAGTASGAAACATTTTTGGTATCCCTGCTTCTTGCGCATGCTCAGCTACCATKTCTTATATTCAAGTAAACGCCGCTATAAATAATCCTTATAACTTTTCTTTCAACACAAGGTAAAATGAATGATGTACGAAATACTTAATTAAGAGTAAAACTTGCCTAGAAGCTCTTGAAACCCTCGGTGGGAGTTCCACTGAAAACCATATAGATATAAATTTTTTAAATTATAAAAAATGCGTATGGTCCAAGGTCTCGTATGCTGCTTACAAAACCAGACAGTATCGAGACAATAAACGCCTTAGTCGTCTCTGTGGGTTTTCATTACAAAGCTTCTAAAAGTGAATCATATTCTTAAGTATTTTTATAAGKCATCATATGGGGAGCTGATGGTTGAAAACAATTGTCTTAATTATCTGCGGCCATTTTGGACRAGGGTTCTGGCATATCAKTGGGTGTTAAAAACGAAATTGACTCAAGGTGTCTCCGACCAAGATTAATTGTCTCTAAAGTACTGATACGTGTAGAACGAGGTATAGAACGTTCTTCAATAACTTCTTCACTTGGTTTGTCTAGATGGACGCCACATTTTTATTAATGACTTGCGCAAATCCAATCAATTTTAATAAGCCATAATGACAAGAAAAAATGTACTTCAAATTTGACAGTTGCACTAGAGGGTATTTAAGAGCGACTGTCCAGAAAAATCGAGCAAAATCGAAAATATCCGGCCACAATGAAAATTTCAAATTCCTTGAAACTCAGATCCTGGACACCTTTCTGTGAGTCTACTAACGTGGTCAAATTGGTTTTTTGATCTACGTCGAAAAATGTGAGTTTTTGAGCAAAATTGGTTTTGCCCCGATTTGGTCTAAAATTAGCATATGAGACCGCTAAAACTTGCAACTTTTTAAAAGTTATTTCTTCATTCAATTTATATTTTTTGCGCAATTTTTTTACATAATCCGAAAGAATACATCCTAAGGAGTTGCCCGGAATCAGTTTTGGCTTTTCAATGTATTTTTA